CATGGTTCTGAAGTCTATAAAATACACAAAACTACCTTAGCTAATTTAGCCTAGGCTACAGCTAAACCATTCCATATTTAGTTCTCATTGACTTCCCTATGAATATTAGTGCTTCAATAAGATTACTAGTGGTTTTTCAAAATCCAGAGCTGAGCGATACACTCAGAAACAATGTATCATTAACTTGCATAGGAATAAATAAAGAGCAACCTTACTGGCTAGCACTCAGATCAGATAAATTCTCATTCTATAAAATATCTTTCTTATCACTTGGTTATATCCAATAGAATACTCTCATGACTCCAAACTCTGGATTAACATGCTAATTTCAAAGTACTCATAGGAAACACAAATGTTCTATTTTACTGTACCAATAAGAAGTCCACAAATTATTCAACACAACCTAGGAATTTCTTCTCTTTTAGTATTAGCTTACCCAGTTTCGTGGTGCCCTCTGGTGGGTATTCAGGAAACTGACCCTCGGAAGGGACGCTGACTGTTCTCCTTAGGCATCGCCCTTTGGTGGAATCTGTCTGTTGCTCCTGTCCTCCATCTACAGGTATCTAGTTAACCAAAAGAAAAGGAGATTAAAACTTAACAGTGAACTCTCCATAATTACTTTCTGATTAAGTAGTATTTTTAGTTAATAAAGCCAGAAATGTGAAAGAAACAGAATAAAGAGAAATGTAGAAATACAGCACATAAAATGGTATTACTATCTCTTTTTTCAGGAAGCTTTTCTTTCAAAAGAAACTGAAAAATCAAGAAAAGTGAGTATGTAAATTAGCTTACATGAAGTATGTACAAGTCATGTCCAGGTGTGGAGCTGCTCTGGGAGCACAGAAAAGAAAACAAAGCACCCACACAAATAAAAGGTTCTTCTCCATTAGAAAGCAGTTCACAACACTTTCTCCAGTGTTCAAAAAGGTAAAGGAAATCAGAGCTAACAAGAAAGATTCAGCTTCAAAATTCTCTTTAAAGTATGTGGGTTTTTTTTTGTTGATAAAGGCAAGTAAAATTATCCAAATTTTCTTTAATTTTACAATCAAGTACTTAGATATAGATAATAAAACATTTCTAATGGAAGCTTATAAAGATACTTGCATAGGTACCTATATAAAGTAGTATGATTTCTTCCTAAAATGAGGCTCTTTTATAATCCTAAGAAAGTTTTTCTCTCATGTTTTTAGAGAACATATCAAGTGATTGTATAAGTGGAATAAGCACTATGAATATAAGAGATCTTTAATGCTAGAAGCTATTTTAAAATTTATTCAGAAGATTATCATT